TCTCTACCCCCACCGAGTGCGATCGACTGACCGTGGTGGAACCCAATTATACTGCCGAGTGGACGGAGGCTCTTGGGGAGGATTTAAGATAAACTATTATAAAACTTTTTATTTTACCAGGCAAGGCCCCACTGAGCTACATATATTTTTTTAACAAGCGACTTGGCCACAAATGAAAGCTCAATGAAGTGGTTTATCTCGTGGACCTTTATAGCAGCCAAATACCCTTGAGTCTAAACACATGTTTCTAAACGTGGAAGAAAAAAAAAACAGAAGACCCGGAGAAAGATCCACGCCACCACGGGGAGGGAAAGAGAGAGAGAGAGCGAACACACAAACTCCAAATATACAGCTCGCGTCAGGCTCGGGATGGAACCCACGACCACCTGTATACCAGGCGGGGTAGTTAACATCTCTCCTGGCCACCGTAATGATGAGAGAGAGCGCACACACAAACTCCGAATATACAGCAGGCATCAGGCTCGGGGTCGGGATGGAACCCACGACCACCTGTATACCAGGCGGGGTAGTTAACATCTCCTAGCCACCGTAATGATGAGAGAGAGAGAGAGCGCTCACACAAACTCCAAATATACAGCAGGCATCAGGCTCGGGGTCGGGATGGAACCCACGACCACCTGTATACCAGGCGGGGTAGTTAACATCTCTCCTGGCCACCGTAATGATGAGAGAGAGCGCACACACAAACTCCGAATATACAGCAGGCATCAGGCTCGGGGTCGGGATGGAACCCATGACCACCTGTATACCAGGCGGGGTAGTTAACATCTCTCCTAGCCACCGTAATGATGAGAGACAGCGAACACACAAACTCCAAATATACAGCAGGCGTCAGGCTCGGGGTCGGGATGGAACCCACGACCACCTGTATACCAGGCGGGGTAGTTAACATCTCCTAGCCACCGTAATGATGAGAGAGAGAGAGAGCGCTCACACAAACTCCAAATATACAGCAGGCGTCAGGCTCGGGGTCGGGATGGAACCCACGACCACCTGTATACCAGGCGGGGTAGTCAACATCTCTCCTAGCCACCGTGCTGCAATGTTTCAGCTGCCCCTGCGGGAGATAGAATCGAACTGGTGACTGCGAGACTGCCAGTCTCGTGCGATAAACATTACACTCCGGCACTTTCCGCCTTCATATAAATATTTATATGTAAATATTTCTATATTTTTTAGCCGCAACGTTCTCAGTGGTTATCGCGTTGGCTTCCGGCATCCATTATTTAGCCATTCCTCCTGCAAGCTTCCTTCCTCAACGTTTAAACGGCTGTGGTCTCCGATGGTTTAGGGAACTGATTGTCAGTGCCTGCTGTTAGAGACGCGGGGAGCCCCGTTTAGCCCCCCCCCTCTCTCCTCCTGCCATTCTTGGTTCAAGGCCAGAGCTTTCGTCAAGTTAGATGCAATCTCAGAGGCTGGTAACCAATGACTGCACTCAATAACACAGTAATAATACTTTTAAAAATGACGTGTGTGTGAGTGTGAGTTAGTGTGAGTCAGTGTGAGTTAGTGTGTGAGTGTAAGTGAGTGTATGTGAGTAAGTGTGAGTTAGTGTGTGAGTGAGTGTGAGTGTTTGTGAGTTAGGGTGTGTGAGTGAGTTAGTGTGTGAGGTCTGAGTGTGTTTGAGTGTGAGAGTGTTTTGGTCAGTGTGAGTTAGTGTGAATTAGTGTGTGTGAATGAGAGTGAGTTTGAGTGAATTAATGTGTGTGTGAATGAGTGAGAGTGAGTGAGTGTGAGTGAATTAGTGTGTGTGTGTGAATGAGAGAGTGTGAGTGAATTAGTGTGTGTGAATTAATGGGGGAGCGGTAGTGTAGCGGTTTGCGCGCTGCACGATGCACCCGGTGACCCGGGTTCGATTCCCGCTCACAGCCACCACCGGTGACGATTATCTGAACCGGTCCTGGGCCTCCCCTAGGTCGACTCAGCCTCAAGTGAGTCCCTGGTGCGGTGTGTAAACATCGCCACTGGGGAGACAAAGGCGGTCGGGCGTAGTGCTGGCCCACCCACCCCCTCGTGTACCTTGCCGGCCTTCATAGGTGCTCACTAACAGCACTTGCCCCTACAGTCTGTTAAGGCTATATGGGGGATCTTTGTCTTTGTGAGTGAGAGTGAGTGAGTGAGTGTGCGTTAGTGTGCATTGATAATCCAGCATGCTCCGGACTCAGGCGGGCTTAGTGTGGCACGGTGTTGAGACTCGTCGTGCATCGCAGCTCGAAGGGCATGGGTTCGATTCCTGACTCAGGCACCTTCATGCGTGGAGTTTGTATGTTCTCCCTCTCTACCTAATGGGTTTCTCCAAAATTGGTATTTAAAAAAAAGAAAATCTCGGTTCAGAAAAAATCAACCTTAATTAATAATTATTTAATAAAATAACTGGGACTGTACGTGGCAACATTGCCCCCTACTGGCAGACACGTGATGCCAGCCATTGTGCAGGATGCTCCATCTCAAGGGACGCACGGAGGTTTCAATAGACACGTGGCGGTACAGCAAGTGGGTTGCGGAACCCCTTCTGGTGCAGACCTCGGAGCAGAGGTCGCAACCGGGTACCCGATACCCGTACCCTACCCGGTACCCGGCTACCCGTACCCGGCAAGGTACGGGTACGGGTAGCCGTTTGCGACCCTGGTGCGGCCGGGTACGGGTACGCGTAGGCCGTGAGTCACTGGTGAGTAACCGTCAGTCACTCATTTTGGGTAGGGTACGGGTAGGGAACGGGTACCCGTACCCTACCCGATACCCGGCTACCCGTACCTGGTGCGGGCGGGTATGGGTAAGGAATCAAAACCCGTTTGCGACCTCTGCCTTGGAGTGTTCTGTTCACTCCACGGCGAGTCGGACTCGTAGGGGAGTGGCGGACGCCTGGTTTGGCCGGAGCTGCAGGGCAGAGTTTGGCTCTCGGCTTGTGAAAACCTCGATAACACAACAACAACAACAACCGTGTGTTACTGTAAATGTGTTGGTGTGTGTGTGTAGTGTGTGCGTTACCGTACAGAAATGCACATTAAAAAGTCGTCGGAGTATGCGATGCACTGAACTATAAAACGGCTTACTGCTGAATGATTCTTACCCACGTTGACAAGTGTCTTGGAAACAGTCTCTCACACCACCCCTCCCCTCCATCCCCCACCACCCCTCCCCTCCATCCCCCACCACCCCTCCCCTTCATCCCCCACCACCCCTCCCCTACATCCCCCACCACCCCTCCCCTTCACCCCCCACCACCCCTCCCCTCCATCCCCCACCACCCCTCCCCTCCATCCCCCACCACCCCTCCCCTCCATCCCCCACCACCCCTCCCCTCCATCCCCCACCACCCCTCCCCTCCATCCCCCACCACCCCTCCCCTCCATCCCCCACCACCCCTCCCCTTCACCCCCACCACCCCTCCCCTTCATCCCCCACCACCCCTCCCCTCCATCCCCCACCACCCCTCCCCTTCATCCCCCACCACCCCTCCCCTCCATCCCCCACCACCCCTCCCCTCCATCCCCCACCACCCCTCCCCTCCATCCCCCACTACCCCTCCCCTCCATCCCCCACCTACCCCTCCCCTCCATCCCCACCACCCTCCCCTCCATCCCCACCACCCCTCCCCAATGAGGTCGTGAGGCATATGTGACGACACTTGACCGCGCTGGTCAGCGCGGCTTGCTGACGGCTGCCTTGAGACGCCAGGCTGTGTATGTGCGAGGCGGACGCCCTGTGATGGGACGTCACTCGACGCTGAAAAATTCCGTTCCGCGTCCGTAAGGAGCTTTGGGGGGATGGAAGATGTGAAACATTCCCAGCCAGGTGCCAAAATTGCAACAACAACAACAACAACTTTAATTTAACACGAAGCCTTGCGATATTGTGATTCAGGATCGATTTTTCTGTCACATCGCCTCAGAAAAATGCGTGTTGTACACAATTCTGGCGACCGCCTGATGGTGCCCGGTTGGTTGTAACTGCGAGCGAGATGTTGCGACACTGCTCGCCAACATTACCAGCGGGGTGCTGAAGCGGCAATAAATTTGGCACGTTTGTGTCACGTGACAACTTGATTGATTTCCCGTGTCGGGCGGAGGAGGGTTTACAACATATTTTACTGTGACGATCTGACCCAACGAACAATAATGAATGAGCGACTTAAACGTGTGATCTTGGTCGTGGTCAGAAATCGAACTCTGCTCGCTTGGTTCACAGCGCCGCAGCGTGCAGGAGATGTTGTCCGTCGCCTCGATTGTGTTCTGTCATTCTTCCTTTTCTGCTCGCGTACTCACTCGGCGATCTTCTTGTATCACCCTCTTGTATGTGCGTATGTTGAACTTTCGCGCCGTACGTAAGCCCAACCGTACTAATCGGAGGTGCGGAGAAAGGACAGCGTATTAAACACAAAAAGCAGGTTTAAATAAACGAGATGATGATTTATAAGTGCTTCCTAATATCGGATGAGCGTTCGAGACGACCGCAGAAACACAACTGAAAGCGCCACGCGATGCGGTGGCCGTCGTTGTTCGATGGCTCGCCAAAAGCCGCCGCCGCTGCTGCGAGGCTGACCGGAGTTCGCGAGATGATCTATGCTCCTTGACGATATCCGCAAGTTCAGTTGTGGCAAGCACTTTGTGTGTAATGAGTGCGAACTTGTAACGTATTCCCTCCGCAACCGGAAGCCAATACAGCTCTGCGAGCACTGGACGTCAGACGTCGCAACCGGGTACCCGATACCCGTACCCGGCTACCCGTACCCGGCTACCCGTACCCGGCCGGGTACGGGTACCCGTTTGCGACCCTGGTGCGGCCGGGTACGGGTAAGGAATCAAAACCCGTTTGCGACCTCTGCTGGATGGATATCAGCCTGTGTTCTCTACCCGCGCGTATACCCTTGTGTGTACCCTTGTGTGTACCCTTGTGTGTACCCGCGCGTGTACCCACGTGTGTACCCTTGTGTGTATCCGCGTGTGTATCCTCGCGTGTATCCGCGTGTGTGCCCACAGCGCTCATCAAGTACGTGCAGCCCGTGTTCGTGTCCCGCGACGACCCCAACTCTCGGCGGAACACCGTGGAGGAGATCAAGAGACGAGCGGCCACCAAAGGGAAATGGCCTCCGGTGAGTCGAGTTCAAGCCCCCCCCCCCACCACCACCCACCACGACCTCCAAAATCTAAAAGAAAAGGAAGAAAAACCACGCACGCACGTGGATTCTGTAACGCTTTCCCGCGTTCAAGTGTTGAATCGGCAGCGCGGACGCCGATGGAGAGAAGCTGAAAGCGCGTTCGCGTGCTCGGGGCCGGCGCTTACGGACGCGGTGGTTTGCGCCGCCACATTTTGCGCAACCGTTTCATCGACGCGTGTGTGGCGGTTTTTACGTTCCGGTAATGTGGATTATTTTGTAGTGCTGCCATTTCGGGAGGGAAGGGAATGAGTTTTTTGTCACCAGGGGTGGGTGGGTGGGTGGATGAGTGGGTGGGTAGATGGTTGGGTGGGTGGATGGGTGGTGGGTGGGGGGCTGTGCGGTTCGTGGAAATTTTAGCATTGGCTGAGAAACTTCTCCCTACACTGACGACATCCGCCATATGAAGAAGCCGACGTCCGAATGGTCCAAGACAACTAGTTTCCGGACTCATCTTCTTGATTCTTTCAGTAAAGTCACGTTAGAAGGGAAATAATAAAATAATAAAAATGAAACAATAAAATACAATTATCACGACGTTTTGGCCACAACGCAAGCAGCCATCCTCAGGTGAAGAACAGGTCTGTCGGAAAGACAGCGTCTGAATGACCACCACTTGGTGGATGGGTGGGTGAGTGGGTGGATAGATGGACCACTTGGTGGTCATTCAGACGCTGTCTTCCCGACAGACCTGTTCTTCACCTGAGGACGGCTGCTTGCGTTGTGGCCGAAACGTCGTGAGAATTGTATTTTATTGTTTTATTTTTATTATTTTATTATTTCCCTTCTACGTGACTTTACCGAAAGAACCAAGAAGATGAATCCCTGCAGTCACGAAAGCTTTAAATCGAAATTTAATGATGGGATTGACATCGATTCCAATTTTTAGTTTTTATCTATGACCATACTTTTATGAATTCATACAATTAGCTTAGGGATTGCAGACAAGCTACAAGTTTGCCAAAGATCTATGCAATTTTTTATTATTATTTTGCTTGTTAATCCAGGAAAGCCTCACTGAATCAGATAAGTAAGTTATACGAGTCCAGTCCATCACGAATGCGCAACACTGATCACGCGTTGAAGTCGGCTCTCTGGAACAACAACAACAACACTGTTTAGAGTCTGTTGCGGAACTGGCTCAGACTCAGGGATGGATCCCGAACGGGGATGCCGGCAGCGTGCTCCAGCATCTTTGGGCCCGGATAATCTAAGTTGTCTTGTGGTTGTTGTTGTTGTTTGACTTGCATACCACTGGGATTTTTGCACTCAGCGTTAGTGTACAGTGTTTTTTTCTGCAATATTTTGCTGTCTTTTCTTGGATTTTCTGTTTGCACTTAGTCACATATTCACTTAAAGATGTTTTCTTGTTCATGTTTTTGTTCTTTGTTGCGGTTGCACCCGATTCAAGAGCCGAATGGCTCACAGGGCTATACCTAATAAATGAACTTGAACTTGAACTGCCCGAAAACTGCGCCGAGCCGTTTTGCGCACGAGGTTTGTTTACACGCGGAGGGGGATACAGCGGCAGGAGCGTCACAAGCCGCCCGTCGCAGTCGGAGTCGACTTGGGTGTGTTGAAGCTGGCACGCACCGATTGGCGAGATAGGATGGAGCGGATTGATGGAGATTCTTGAAGAGGAGTAGGCATAGTTTATACGTGATCCTGTGTTTAATAGGTAGCCAGTGCAGCTCATCACGTATCAAACTCGTGATATGATCATATTTCTGTTTCCTATCAGACGAGCTGCAGCATTTAACTTTTTGAGGAGGGTCTTGCCAAACTTTCGCGCTAGGCGGCAGCGATTGCCCTTCATATTCCAATTGAGTAATTTTCGCTGGACATTTTTTGCCATGTTATTTTTTTTTTCATTCGTCAAAATTGAGAATGGAGGAATCCAATGAGGTACGAATCTTCGGTAGCGATGGGTCAGCGAGTTACGACAACAAACAAAGAATGCACAAAAACAGTGCATAGATTCCTGCCGGGAAAGCCACACCCGGGCACGCCCCCACGACTGTGAACGCGCCGCCTTCACCGTGTTCGTCTCATCGGACGCAGCCGCTACACGCGATGGCATAAGCCGCTGTTAAACATACGCTCGGAAGTAGTGTACCGCTGCCAACTCGGCCTTATGTGGTCCCGGAAAAATGTCAGCGGAATTGCCTACGCGTGTTAAAAAAAAAAAGAATTTCCGTTTGACCCAGGTCATTAAATAATGTTTGGAAGCCGATAAGCCCTTTGGAATTTTTTTGTTGGTCCTTTTTATGCGACAGCGCAAAGCCCTTCTCCTCAATACCCTTCCCCTCACTCCTCATCATCCTCTGATGGACAACACAGGGAGAGCTTAGTGGTTACCTGCCTTCCCACCTGCAGCGGCGTGAGCAGGCAATAACTCGGCGGCCTTAAATAGGAAGCGTACAATGGGCGACGTTTCGGGCAACGGCCCTCCTTCACAGCACGCACACAGAGAGAGAGGCCAGAGAGGCCAGAGATGTAGAATCAGAACATTTATTGTGATAAGAAGCTCTTTCAAGGGAGTCTCAACCGGCAGACGACATCAAAGCAATCCACGATTACAGATTGAAAAATAAAAACCCCACCAAACTTGACAATAGCAATTACGTTGCAAAAAATGACACGCTTTAACTTTGAGTGATGTTAACGGAGTCGGTTTAAGCGAGGACAGACATGGCAGAATGAAGTTGCCGAGAGAAGGTAAACTTAGTTGGGAATCCATGAAATACATTCGATCCAAATTGTTTGCAGAATCTGGGAACTATTAAAGAGACAATCCAGACGCGCATCGCAGAGTTTTAGGATCGTCTAATTGTAAAAAAAAACAGGTTGGACAAAGAAAGAGAAGATCTTGCGCACAATAACCCTGTAAGAGAGCGGATCGCCCCTGTGCATTTCGGTGCAGAGTAAAGCTGTTGCGGATAAAAATAAATAAATGGGAAATTAATAACCCTTGTTGTTCGAAACTTGTTCTGTCCTCTCTCGCCGCAGATCATGATCTTCCCAGAGGGAACGTGCACCAACAGGACCTGCCTGATCAAGTTCAAACCAGGTGAGGGGTGGCGACGATTCGCGCGCTTGCCGCCACGAGTCGAACGGCAGCTGAACATCGCGTGCCAAACGATTTATAATGATAAAATAGTGAGCGCTCGTCTAAGGCGGTCAATGCATGTCAACACGCTGCTGGAAAGTGTTGATGGGGGCGGGGGGGTTACCAGTCTGATCACACTCGTCACCACACGCCCATTCTTGCCAGAGCTGACAAATCGTCTCGTTTGCTGACACGAGACAGGACTGTTGCATCCATCGCGGGATCGTGAGAGGTGGTGTCAGTGGCTTTAGGGGGGGGGGCCTTTGGTGGTAGCCTTCATCTAGCAGTGGATTGACCATGGCTGCTGATGATGAGGATATCTGATTGATTGTCTTCTTATCATTGCAATTGCCAGCGCTCTTACTTATTTATTCACAGTACTTGTTTGATCCTTTGATGCGTTCATTCATTCATGTTTTTGTTTACTCTGGTGCAGGCGCTTTCATTCCTGGTGTGCCCATCCAGCCGGTGGTGTTGCGATATGGAAACAAAATGGTGAGCACCGGGATCTCCGGACGCGCTGGCAAGGGGCAGCCTCTGTAGCGAGGGGCATGTTGTTTCCATGGGTATCGCGTGATATGAAACACAATACGTTTGTGCAGTGTCTGTTTTGTGTGTGTGTGCGTGTTTTATAGGACACAATACTCATCCGTTTATCAACCCCGCGCCTATAAAGTTTACACACTTCGAGTACAGCATGTCCCCCCGGAAGGTCTCGTCCACAATTGAAGGATTTTCGTTCGACACCGCCAATGCATAATAGGTGCTATAGGTTATTGGTCCCGTCTCGTGGGCAGCAGAGGGCTACGTGGCACAATCCCGTCGCAGCGCACTGCACTTCTGTGCTCACCAACTTTACTGACCAGCAGCAACCAGCGTGGTGAAGTATGGTGACATAATCCCGCATCCACGACCGACACGATGTTGAGAGAGGCAGTTGTCCAGCAGTGTCCGTCTGGAACGCGCTTCCTTCCGATATTAGGAAGCCGCTGGAGCTTTGCACTTTTAAATCATCTCGATTGAGAACTCATTTCTTTAGAACTGCTTTTTGTGTTTAGTTTTTCCTTCCCCTCGTACCTCCAATTAGCCCGGTTTGGCTACACACGGTGCAAAACAATTTCAACATGCGTCCGCACGCGAGAGTACACGCGAGGATCACCGAGTGAGCGCGCGAGCAGAGAGGGAAGCATGATAACACAACATCTCTCAACACATAATATAGGTTTTTGGGTCAGATCGCGTTATTTATAAATGTGTCGTTATAAATAACGCGATCTGACCCAAAAACCTATATTATGAATAATATTAGTCGCGAAAGCCTACGTGTTAAATTGATCTCTCAACACGCACACGTTTACACGCATCCCGACCAGCAGTGGATCTCCCACTGGGCCCTTCGTTCGTCTTGGAGCACAGCGCCGATCGAGGGTTTCGCGTCCTCCTCGAAGCAGATCCTCAATCAGTGGGTGGCACTGCCAAAGAGAGAGGAGCGAGCGAGAGAGAGGCGGGGAAAGTGCCGGTGATTGTGGTCACTCTGGCGCCGCCACGGGTCCGCGACACGCGATACCACCACCGGCTGTGTGTACGCGCCCTGGTAGAGGGGGGGGGGGGGTGCGGTGAGGTATTTATAACCGATAATATTAATGGTGATGGATACGATGAGCAACTGAGAGGAGTGACCGATGTGTAAGTCAGAGAAAGGTTTGCACGTGGAAGAAGACGACCCGATGTTGCAGGCAGCGATGAGAAGGAAACTGGCATGATTTGGACACCTATCTACGTAGGATGGACGACAACAATAACAACAGGAAAATTTTAAGTATTGTTGTTCGGAAAAATGGAAGGAACTGGAAAGAGAGGAAAACCTAACAGAGAAGTGGCTTATATATTCTTGGTTCTTTCGGTAAAGTCACGTAGAAGGGAAATAATAAAATAATAAAAATATTAAATGATCAAATTCTCACGACGTTTCGACTGCAACACAAGCAATCATCATCAGGTGTGAAATCCCCAGCAAGAAAATTGTTTCCCTTCTACGTGACTTTACCGAAAGAACCAAGAATATGAATCCCTGCAGTCACGAAAGCTTTAAATCTAAATTTTAAGAGAATGGCTTCATAATAAAGAGTTTTGGTTTAGGCCGCGTTATTTATAAATGTGTCACAACCCTCCACCACCCAACATGGTCAATCAGTAAAAAAAAACCCAGCCATTCAGTTCACCATGGGAATGGAGGTGAACAACACACCCCCCTTCTTGGATATTTTTCTTGGATGTGGTCAAAATGGCAAAATAACCCTGAAGACGGAAGCTTGTGTTGCCTCTGAAACGTCGTGATTTTATTGTTTTTATTTTTTATTAATTTTAATTTAATTTTTTACCTACGTGACTTTACCGAAAGAACTAAGAGTAAAATAACCCGCAGGGTCTACCGAAAGGGAACGCACACTGATGCCTATCTGAATGCAGATTCGCATCATGACCCAGCACAGAAATCATCTCATCAAGTCTCTCATACATCGGGCAAAGACAGTGTCAGACGGTGAAAGTTTAGGGAGATGATGAATAATAATAATTATGATAATATTACATTTAATACGGCATCATTCATTTCGAAACGCAGATCAAAGCTGCTCCGTGGTTGTTTTGTAACGCCTGCACAAGGAAGCCCGCACGCTAGCGCTTTAGGTGGTTTCACGAATTTATGTGCGATCCAACACCACCACCCCCCCCCCCACGCTGCCTCTACAGCAGAGGTCGCAAACGGGTTTTGATTCCTTACCCGTACCCGTACCCGGCCGCACCAGGGTCACAAACGGGTATCCGTACCCTACCCGATACCCGGATACCCGTACCCGGCCGGGTATCGGGTAGGGTACGGGTACCCGATTGCGACCTCTGGAATGAAGCCATGTTGCAGGCGCGGGTGGGTTGATTCTAGGAACTTGCCTTGTGAGAAGAGACAAGACGTTGGGAAATGAGTGACAAACGATTTAAAGCTTTCGTGACTGCAGGGATTCATCTTCTTGAAGTCTTCTCGACAGACCTGTTCTCCACCTGAGGACGGCTGCTTGCGTTGTGGCCGAAACGTCGTGAGAATAATTTTATTATGTTTTATTTTTATTATTTTATTATTTCCATTCTACGTGACTTTACCGAAAGAACCCCAAGAAGGGTGACAAACGGTTACTCACCAGTGACTCACGGCCTACCCGTACCCGTACCCGGCCGCACCAGGGTCGCAAACGGGTACCCGTACCCGGCCGGGTACGGGTAGCCGTGTATCGGGTAGGGTACGGGTATCGGGTACCCGGTTGCGACCTCTGCTCAACAGTGCTGGGTTTCAGGCCACACTGGCAGTGAGAGTCGGCGGGGCCCGGCACGTGTGTGATAATTAAGTGTCAACACGGTTGCAAAATAAATAGACTGTGTTAGCCTGGGCGGCTCAATGCTCACTGCAATAAAGCACGGGTAAGCACTACCATGGTGGAGCGGTGGTTAGTGCAGAGCGCTATGAACACCGACAACCTGAGTTTGATTCCTGACCACGGCTACCATGAGCGGTGTGAAAATTAGTCATGTACCTAAGGTGCATTATGTATGTGGCTTAACTGTGAATACCCCAACTTTCTAGATTTGAAGTTTTCGTGACTGCAAGGATCCTTACTCTTTGGTTCTTTCGGTAAAGTCACATAGGTGAAAAATAATATATAAATAAATAAAAGTAAATTTACTTTTAAAAAAGTAAAAAAAAGTAAATTTACTTTTATTTATTTTAAAATTTTAATTTATTTTTCACCCACGTGACTTTACCGAAAGAACCAAAGAGTAATACCCCAATTAATAATAAATATATATTGTGATATAGATGACGACATTCACCTCCCCCACCCCCTCGTCTGTGCACCTGATTGGCTTACAAGTGACGACGTCACATTTACCCCCCCCCCCCCCTCTGTGTTGAAGACCGCAACAGGCGGAGGAGAATCTCTCCACAACTCCGGCTGTCGCCTGACGATGCTGGTTGTTGCAATTACCGGCAAAACGTCAGAGTACTCGAATTATAGATGTTGTAGTGGGTTTAGTCTCCAACACACCGCTGGTGCTGAAACTAATTGGCGCGTTTTGTTTACGTGACAAACCTCACTAATTGTCTGTGTCGGGTTCAACGACACATTTATATTTACGTGATCTAACCCAAAGAAACCTCTTGTCAATAGTCAAAACTGGTCCTGCCCTCCCTGCCCCCCAACCCCCGCCCCCTTTATACCAACCCACACTGACCAGCGTGGTGAAGTATGGTAAGGGTTAGCCTCCATCCAGCAGTGGATTTGACAAAGGGGCTTTGCTGCTGCTGATGCTGCCGGGATGTTGCATTATTGAGTGGCGTAGCCACCGTAATCCCATCGACCAAAGAGCAAACGCGGGAGGTGTAATTTTGGAATCCAGAAACCCGATCCCGCATCAATATCCGTGACATAATGGCTTTGCGTCCGTCGACGCAAATAGCCTGCCTGTGAACAGCCCGTGAACCCACGGCCCGTGTAACCGATGAGAACATCCATCACAACAGCTCTCTGCGCGTGTGTGGTTAAATCTAGTACACACTCGTGTATTGCCTTTGCTGTGAAAACATTTGTAAGCGGTGCGTCGAAGTGCGCGTGTGGAGGGGAGCGACGGTGTGGCGGTTAGCGCGCTGCGCTACGAGCCCGTCGACCCGAGTTCAATTCCCACTCCCGGCTTCTGGGCTTCCCCTAGATCAGCTCAGCCTCAAATGAGTACCTGTTGCGATGTTTAGACATCGGCAGCGAAGATCCAAAGGGCGTGGTGGTGACAGCCACTCATTCTCCTCGTGTCCCGTACCGGCCTGAATGGGTGCTCGTTACGCAACTTGTATTGGTCTCATCTTCTTGGTTCTTTCGGTAAAGTCACGTAGAAGGGAAATAATAAAATTATACAAATAAAACTACACGTGACTTTACCGAAAGAACCAAGAATATGAATCCCTGCAGTCACGAAAGCTTTAAATCGAACTTGTATTGGTCTGTTTGTATGTGTGTTGAACTTCTTTCGTAGCCAACCGTGCTAATCGCCCGTGCGTGTGTGCCTGTGTGCGTGTGTCCGCGTGTTAATTGCAGGACACGATAACTTGGACTTGGCATGGACCGACGGCGTGAGTTTTAACAATGTTTACTCCTCGCCCACATCGTTGCAAGTTACCACAGCTGCAGCTTCTATGCTCACCACGCCAACTTGTTCACATTTAGCCTGCACGTCCGTACCACTCGGAGACTCGCTGTTACGCAGCCACAAATGCACCGCGATGAGAATGACTAATGTTTAGCCGTTCCCAAATCGCCTGTGATAGCGCCCGACATCATCAAGTCTCGCAAGCTAAGCAAACTTGAGCCTGGACAGCGTATGACTCAGGCGCTGAAGGGCTGAACGTGACACACACGTTCTAAAAACAACCACAAAAAGTCGATGCATTGTGAGTGCGTAATTCGAATTGAATGACATTGATCGTTGGGAAGTGTTTGTGAATATCAATGATGTGCGAGGACCCAGCCACTCCCGTAAACAACTGAGAATATTCTCAGCTCTCCGATCGCTTCATCGGCTCATACAGCCACGATGTCCGACGTTTCGCTCTGCGTCCTGGGAGTTTTAAGCCTTTCCCATTCCGACGACGTACCGGAATCGGATGTAAAAGGCCGTGCGGGATGGAGTGTCCCAGTTTCGGCGCCAGCTATCGCGGAGTGCGGTCGTGTCGCTGCAGTTCTCTGCAGTGAGTAACGACGTCTTAAAAAACAACGGCGCTGCTGCTACGTCTCTATAAATGAAATGGAACGCCGAGCCGCTTGCGTGCTCCGAGATTCGGCGCTGAACGGGACACCCGCCCTGCGACTTGCACACGTCTCGGAAAGGGTTCGTGAGTTAATTTCCTGAAGAAGCTCCCAGCACGTGGAGCGAAACGTCAGACATTGTGCCAAACACGTGTTTGTGCGCGTGCGGGTATGTATGCATGTGTGTTTAAGTGTGCGTGTGCATGCGCGTATGTCTTTGGGGAGTGGTGGCGTAGTGGTTAGCGCACCTCACTACGAACCCGGCGACCCGAGTTTGATTCCTGCTCCGGGCCGATTAAAGTTGCGAATATTTGAACCGGTCCTGGGCCCACCCATAAAGTCGACCCAGGCTTAAATGAGTATCTGGTGTGGCGTGTCTAGCACATCAGCACTGGGGAGACAAAGGTTGCTGGGTGTAGTGTTGGCCACACAACCACCTCGTACACCACGCCAGCCTTAATAGGTGCTCGCTAACAGCACTTTCCTCAACAGCCTATTCAAGCTAATGTGATGATGTGTATGGATGCGGTGCCTTGGTACGATTATATCGGACGATTCACTCCGCATGCTGGGTGGGAGCTTCCGTCAGTTAATTTCCTGATGAATCCCCCAGAACGGGGGAGCGGGGGGCGTGGGGCGAGGGGGCGAAACGTCGGACGTGGTGCCGAACAAACACGCGGCACGACTCGGCACACACATCGGACGGCTACACCGCCTGGCGCCTACGCAGGCTTACCGAGCGCTCGCTTGTAACGCAACGAAAGTTCACGTGACTCTACCTGGTCCATTCCGGCACTGACTTGGGCATTCCTGAACCTACGAGGTCAATAACGGTGGCCGGGTCAAGTAACACGTCATGCGAGTGGGGGGGGGGGGCCCCTCTGTCAGTCCACCGCTGGATGATAAGGCCTTCCCGCACCCATGCACGGTCGTAGAGGGGTTATAAGGCGGCTGTACCTCGCCGCGCTCGTTGGCGTGGTTTGGTGCGGGGGGGGGGGTGAGGTGGCATTGTCGTGCCGACCCCCGACTCCGCTCCTGTGTGGGTTTCCTCGGGGAGGGTGGGGGGTTCTCCGGTTTCCCTCCCGTGGCTATAAAAACAAAAGTGTGCTCGCACACGAATTCACAATGTAGCGGAACCCTCCTGAAAAAAAGTCTTGGGATTCGGTGAGGCTTTCCTGGGTATATCTGTATATAAAAGTCATTATAATGATGATGATTATTATACACACGGGAGTGTAGAGAGGTATGCTGCAGCAATAGGTGGCGCCACGGTGGCTAGGAGATGTTAACTACCTCGCCTGATATACAAGAGGTCGTGGGTTCGATCCCGACCCTGACGCCTGCTGTATATTTGGAGTTTGCATGTCTCTCCCTCTCATCATCATCATCACGGTGGCTAGGAGATGTCAACTACCTCGCCTGGTATGCAGGAGGTCGTGGGTTCCATCCCGACCCTGACGCCTGCTGTATATTTGTAGTTTGCAGTGTCTCTCATCATCATCACGGTGGCTAGGCGATGTTAACTACCTCGCCTGATATGGAGGAGGTCGTGGGTTCGATCCCGACCCTGACGCCTGCTGTATACTTGCAGTTTGCGTGTCTCTCTCCCTGTGGTCGCGTGGATTTTTCTCCGGGTCCTTTTGGTTTTCCCTCTACATTTAGAATCATGCATTTATAGTATTTGGCTGCTGTAAATTTTCACGTGATAAGCCACTTTGTTGAACTATCATTTGTGAAAAATAACTATGCAGCTCAGTGGGCCTTACCTGGTAAAATAAAAAAATTGTTTACTTAGTTCCTCCCATGCCTTGCCAAAACCCGAGTTGTTTTTCTTTTCCATTCGGCATTCACAAATCATCGCGACGCTCCGATTCGGACCCACAATGCTTTGCTCAATTGCATCTTACTATTGCGTAGGGATCAGTTTAATTAATATGAAAACTAAATTTAAACGCCATGTTCGATTGGTTCGAGTTTGGTGTTTTGGTGTCACCTCAGGTGTGAGATCCCGAAATCCTCGCCCATCATCACTCCTGGTTCAATTTAACGAGTACCGCATTGTGCGTTTCATTGCGTTACATCATGTAGCAAGATCGCCACCTACTGGCAGATGATCCACGTTTGTGAAACACTTTAATGATCACCGTGTGCTATATGAATGCCGCAATTAGCAAACCTGTTCCAAAAAAATATATTTCAGTGGTTCTATGGATAGGCTGACCACCCCCCCCCCCCCCCCTCCCGCCATAGTAATGGAGAATTTCCACGACTCACTCAGGGCTGTGAACCAGAGGTCGCAACCGGGTACCCGATACCCGTACCCTACCCGATACCCGGCTACCCGTACCCGGCCGGGTACGGGTAGCCGTTTGCGACCTTGGTGCGGCCGGGTACGGGTACGGGTAGGCCGTGAGTCACTGGTGAGTAACCGTTTGTCACTCATTTCGGGTAGGGTACGGGTAGCGTACGGGTACCCGTACCCGGCCGGGTACCCATTTGCGACCCTGGTGTGGCCGGGTACGGGTACGGGTAAGGAATCAAAACCCGTTTGCGACCTCTGCTGTCAACAGGAGAGATGCTGTATGAATCCAGAGAAAACCACGATGTTGATGTTATTTGAGCGCTGTAATTGCTTCGATTAAATGTATGGTCTATTTTGTTATAAACGACGTGCCCCCGTCTAACCGTTTGCACACGTGATTGCCGCGTCACTAACGTGTTGTGTTTGGCTCGTGATCTTTGCAGCCTGCAGATATTGTGGCTCACGCTTTGCCAGCCACATAACCGCATTGAAATTGAGGTGTGTGTCATTCACTTTAATTGCTTCTTCTCAATCTGCGTCTGTGTGCGGCTGCATCTGTGCGCGGATGCGTCTATGTGCGGCTGCGTCTGTGTGCGTGGCTGTGTCTGTGCGTGGCTGCGTTGCCTCTGCTGTGGAGGGAGCGGTGGCACAGCGATCAGCGCGTTGCGCTGTGTACCCGGCGACCCGAATTCGATTCTCGCTCGCTGTCAGAAACAGAATATCTCTGAACCTGGTGCGGTCTGTAAACATCAGCACTGGGGAGACAAAAGCGGCCGGGCGTGGTGTTGGCCACACCACCACACCACCACCTTCATGCGCTGTACCGACCTTAATTAGGTGTTGGCTAACAGCACATTTCTGTCAAGGGCTATACAAGGGGGTCTTTGTTACTTCTATTCCTGCTCCGTTGCATTGTTGCCAGCAATCGTTGCTGGCGGTGGGAGTTGTCGCCGCCCCGTTTTCAATCGTACACAGAATAATTTTACACGTGATGAGCTGCTTCCGTTGAGCTATCATTTGTGGCCTGGTCGCTGGCAAAATAAAACTAGTTCTAAGTTTAAAGTAACGGTGATTAACATTGAAAAGCGCGTGCTTCACTAACGTTGAGTGGTTGACTGCGCACTGGTAGTCACGTGACCTCTATCCATGATCGGATTGGACGTCGCGATCTCGGTTGCCCAATCGCCGGCAACGGCAAAACTAATCTAATTTGTCCAGCTTTGGGAAGGTGAAATTAACTTAAACAAATAAAATTAAATTGTTGCTTTGGCCCAAAAATCTGATACGATGTAGCTTTCTCTGCTGAAGCTGGCACTGCGACTATCATTTAATTTACATTTTTTTTGATTGCATCTCCATGACCAAGCTTTCATGGCCTTGGGTTCAAATTTACCATTTTCATGATCTCGCCGAAATTGTAGCCCTAATGAATCCGGAAGAGTGGTACCCTCACCCCACAGATGTGTTTGACTTCCTCTGTTTTCATCGGTTCAATTGCACTGCCTGGATTTACGCATGGCGGCAACGAATGCGCACACTATGAATTCCTCCACAATCATAACCACGCACCACACCGTGGGATAACCAGAAAGCGACATCGCAAGCACCAGTGTGCTGCTGCTGCTGTCACCAGGCTGTGTGTCTTGCTGTGTGCCTATCTGCTGTCACCAGGCTGTGTGTCTTGCCGTGTGCTGCTGCTGCTGTCACCAGGCTGTGTGTCTTGCTGTGTGCCTATCTGCTGTCACCAGGCTGTGTGTCTTGCCGTGTGCTGCTGCTGCTGTCACCAGGCTGTGTGTCTTGCTGTGTGCCTATCTGCTGTCACCAGGCTGTGTGTCTTGCCGTGTGCTGCTGCTGCTGTCACCAGTCTGTGTCTTGCCGTGTGCTGCTGTTGCTGTCACCAGGCTGTGTGTCTTGCTGTGTGCTGCTGCTGCTGCTGTCACCAGGCTGTGTGTCTTGCTGTGTACTGCTGCTGCTGCTGTCACCAGGCTGTGTGTCTTGCTGTGTGCTGCTGCTGCTGTCACCAGGCTGTGTGTCTTGCTGCGTGATGCTGCTGCTGTTGCTGTCACCAGGCTGTGTGTCTTGCTGTGTGCTGCTGCTGCTGTCCCCAGGCTGTGTGTCTTGCTGTGTGCTGCTGTCCCCAGGCTGTGTGTCTTGCTGTGCTGCTGTTGTTACTGTCACCAGGCTGTGTGTCTTGCTGTGTACTGCTGTTGCTGCTGTCACCAGGCTGTGTGTCTTGCTGTGTGCTGCTGTCACCAGGCTGTGTGTCTTGCTGTGTGCTGCTGCTGCTGTCACCAGGCTGTGTGTCTTGCTGTGTGCTGCTGCTGCTGTCACCAGGCTGTGTGTCTTGCTGTGTGTTGCTGCTGTTGTTACTGTCACCAGGCTGTGTGTCTTGCTGTGTGCTGCTGCTGCTGTCACCAGGCTGTGTGTCTTGCTGTGTGTTGCTGCTGTTGTTGCTGTCACCAGGCTGTGTGTCTTGCTGTGTGCTGCTGCTGCTACTGTGACCCGTCTGTGTGCTGTCACGTGCGGTGTTACCCCTCTGGCTTGTGCTGTGCGCTGCGTATCGCGTGCTGTGCACTGCGTGCCTTGCCGTGCGTTCTTCTTGGTTCTTTCGGTAAAGTCACGTAGAAGGGAAATAATTAAATAATAAAAATACAACATAATTAAATAAAATTCTCAGCTTAAATATACGCTGCCAAGCTTAGTGGTGTTCATTCGGACGCTGTCTTTCCGACATCCCTGTTCTTCACCTGAGGACGGCTGCTTGCGTTGTGGCCGAAACGTCGTGAGAATTTTATTTTATTGTTTTATTTTTAGTATTTTATTATTTCCCTTCTGCGCGACTTCACCGAAAGAACCGAGAAGACGAATCCCTGCAAGTCACGAAAGCTTTGAATCGAAATTTTACCGTGTGCTGTCGCTGCGAGCAGTTCCTGCCCGTCTACTACCCGAGCGACGAGGAGAAACGGGACCCCACCCTCTTCGGCAGCAACGTGCGGAGAATCATGGCCAGGTAAGGGCAGCTGACGCGCGCAGTGAGTGCGTGTTTGTTTGCGTGCCGACGTACTGTGTGCTGTGTACTGCGTACTGTGTGCTGCGTACTGTGTGCTGCATTAATCCGTGCTGTCTACTGTCCGATGCATGCTGTGTACTGTGTTCAGTGTACTGCATTACTCCGTGCTGTCTACTGTGTGATTCATGCTGTGTGCCGTGCAATGTGCTGCATGCTGTGTGATGCATTCCTCCGTGCCGAGTACTGTGCTGCGCTCTGTACAATCCCCAACTGAGTCATTTGCGGTGGAATTTCCGAATTTGGCAAACGTGGACCCCCGACGAGGCCGGCACACGATGCCCTCCCCTTGCGAACGACGTCATGGAATCTTTGTCGTCCGCTGCGAAGCGGTTAACGCGCACCCGCGGTTAATAACCGGGGCGGCCGCTGGATTCGAACTACGAACCCGTGCGACGAGCGGCAACGGTTGTCGAACGCGCTGTGTACCGCGTCACCGCGTCACCGCGTACGCACGTGCCAGGGCGCTGCGCGTGCCGCTCTCGGACGTGACTCTGGAAAGCTACCTGGGGCAGCGAGACCGCCACGAGGCCTCGCGGGAGACGGTGGCCACGGCGGACGTGGACGCGCTGCTCCGCTCGCTACGGTACGCTCACTCGCCGGATGGCTGGCGCGGGGCGCACCTCCGCTGCGTGACACACACACCAGTGACGCGCACACCAGTGACGCGCACGCCAGGGACGCGCACGCCAGTGACGCGCACGCCAGTGACGCGCACGCCAGTGACGCGCACGCCAGTGACGCGCACGCCAGTGACGCGCACGCCAGTGACGCGCACGCCAGTGACGCGCACGCCAGTGACGCGCACGCCAGTGACGCGCACGCCAGTGACGCGCACGCCAGTGACGCGCACGCCAGTGACGCGCACGCCAGTGACGCGCACGCCAGTGACGCGCACGCCAGTGACGCACACGCCAGTGACGCACACGCCAGTGACGCACACGCCAGTGACGCACACGCCTGTGACGCACACACCTGTGACGCACACGCCAGTGACACACACGCCTGTGACGCACACGCCTGTGACGCACACACCTGTGACGCACACGCCAGTGACGCACACGCCAGTGACGCACACGCCTGTGACGCACACGCCAGTGACGCAGACACCAGTGACGCACACACCAGTGACGCAGACACCAGTGACGCAGACACCAGTGACGCAGACACCAGTGACGCACACACCAGTGACGCAGACACCAGTGACGCACACACCAGTGACGCAGACACCAGTGACGCAGACGCCAGTGACGCAGACGCCAGTGACGCAGACGCCAGTGACGCAGACGCCAGTGACGCAGACGCCAGTGACGCAGACGCCAGTGACGCAGACGCCAGTGACGCAGACGCCAGTGACGCACACGCCAGTGACGCAGACACCAGTGACGCACACGCCAGTGACGCACACACCAGTGACGCACCTCCGCTGCGCCTGTGACAGGCCCCTGATGCGCACGTAACACACCTTTTATTTTTATCATCCCTATGGGAGAGGCAGGGGAGTGCGTGGAGGGGAGTAAGGCGAGATGAGAGAGGGGAGAGGTCGGCAGGGTTAGTTCCTCCGATGAGCACGGTTGGCTACGTACGGTGCAAAAGAAGTTCAACGTACACGCATTCCATGGGAGGATCTAGCAGAGGATGCGTGCGATCTTGAAATGTATCCGGATTGTATTGGGAGCCAGCGGGGGTTAATCCTTACCGCGGCACTTTAACTCTAACACGCGGACGCGATGGCGCCGCACGACAGTGGCCCTCCGTCGCCGTTGCCCTCCTCCGTTGCCTTCATCTCACCAACGCAATTTAATGCGATAATTTACTTAACCGCCACAGTCCAGTGTTGAATTACGCCTCAATTATCTTGATTACCAGCTCAGCAGATGCTCTAAACCAGGCCAGAGCAGATGGTCAAGCGGTTGTCTGGGACAGGGGCGACGCGGGCGGAGGTCCCACCGGCCGGAGCCGTAGCACGGCGACATTCGCGTGAACCGCCGCCAGCCATCGATGGAAAGCGGACGAGTGACTTTGTGCGTTTAGTTTATTGTCCTTGCCCCCCCCCACCCACCCCCGCGCCTCCGATGGGCACGGCCGGTAACAATGAAATGATAAACTACGTAAAAAATACATGTTTATTTTACCAGCTAAGGCCCGCTGAGCTACACAGCTCCTGGCTACCGCAAATGATAGCTCAACAAAGTGGCTTCCGAAGCATCGTCGGGGGCTGTGTCGTATTGGCCGCGTGAATCGGTGGGTCCGACTGAAGCTGCGCGACTACCGTAGGCGGTAGCGTCCGAGACTGCCGATCGCGATCGCCCTTTGGGGTCGTTCTCAAGCAGTCTCCCATCGGTGTAGGACAGGGGTCGGCAACCAAAATAACAAGAAGAGCCATTTCTTTCCAATTCGGTACAAAATTCAGTATTTCCAGAGCCGCAATGCATCTGAGTACATACGTACATATCGTCAAGAAGCAGCCCGTAAAGAGCCGCATGCGGCTCCGGAGCCGTAGGTTGCCGACCCCTGGTGTAGGAGATGGCGACATCTGCCGTGTGACGATGACGACGATGACGACTGGTGCGTGCCCGTCAGCCTGGGTGCAGAGAACGGCGTGGAGCGGCGCGCGCGGGCGGCGCGTGCTCCCCCGGCGAGCGTGGAGGAGTTTGCCCGCTTCCTGGAGCGGCCCGTGACGGAGGCCCTCCGGCAGCTGTTCAGCACCCTTGACACGGTGAGCCCAGCGTCACACACGACACGTGAGGCCAGCGTCACACGCACAGACAAAGATTCCCAGAATAGCCTTTTGACAGACTGTTGGGGCAAGTGCTGTTAGCAAGCACTGGCCGCCGTTGTCTCTACACGTTGCTGATGTTGACACATTGCACCAGGAGCTCATTTGAGGTTCAGTCGACGTACAGTCGGCACAGGACCATTTTAGATAATCGTCACCGGTGTTGGCCGTGAGCGGGAATCGAACTCGGGTCGCCGGGTTGATAGCTAACTGCTACACTAACGCTCCCCACAACTGCTCACAACACAAATACAGACAAACCGACACGACACACAGACCTCCACAAACCTACACACTGACACAAACAACTACACGCACAATTACACACAACACGCACACCTGCACACAAACCTACACACCTATACATGACACACAAACCTACACACACACCTACACACAAACCTACACACATACCTACACACACACCTACACACACACCTACACACACCTACACACACACCTACATGCACGCCTACACACACACCTACACACACCTACACACACACCTACACGCACACCTACACACACCTACACGCCGACACACACAACTACACACACACCTACACGCAAACCTACACGCACACCTACACACACAATTACACACACACACTTACACACACACACCTACATGCACACCTACATGCACACCTACACACACACATCTACACACACACACACCTACACACACACCTACACACAGACACACCTACACGAAAAACCTACACACACACCTACACACACACCTACACACACACCTACACGCAAACCTACACACACCTACACATACACACACACCTACACGCCGACACACACAACTACACACACACCTACACACACACCTACACACAAACCTACACGCCGACACACACACCTACACATACACACCCACACATACACCTACACACACACCTACACGCCGACACACACAACTACACACACACCTACACACACACCTACACACAAACCTACACGCCGACACACACACCTACACATACACACCCACACATACACCTACACACACACTTACACGCCGACACACACAACTACACACACACCTACACACACACCTACACACAAACCTACACGCCGACACACACACCTACACATACACACCCACACATACACCTACACACACACCTACACGCCGACACACACAACTACACACACCTACACACACACCTACACACACACCTACACACACACACCTACACACACACCTACACGCCGACACACACAACTACACACACCTACACACACACCTACACACACACCTACACACACACCTACACACACACCTACACACACACCTACACATACACCTACACACACACCTACACGCCGACACACACAACTACACACGCTGGCGGCACACCAAAATGAAAACCTCGCGTTCCCCGGCATGTTGCGACTCCTCCGCTGGTTTGTCCCCTCATCTAAAATCAAATCTCCACGCTCCCCTCGTCTCGATCGATCCCAATTACTCTTCCGCTGCCACCTATTAAAGCGCCGGCGCTGTGCGGGTGGCTTCGCGATCGATGCCCCCAGAACAAGCGGCAAGACTCGCCGGTCAATGTACGCTCGCCGGTCGTTGTCCCTCGGCTGCGACCCGCATCGTCGCAGCACGGTCGATGGAATTAAGTGCCACTTTGTGGGAGGAGGATGAGGGTGGATGGTAGTATTCTTAGGTTTTTTTCGGTAAAGTCACGTAGGTAAAAAAATGTAATTAATAAACGTAAAATAAAAAATCACGACGTTTAGGAGGCAACACAAGCCTCCGTCTTCAGGTGGAACCGTCACAGCACGATATCTGTATCAAGTAAGAGAAATTCCAAGAAAACAGTCCTTGTATGTAAACTGGTTGAGGGTGGGAGGAGCCAAGGTAGGCACCTGGATATTATTATTGTGAGGTTCGGTGCGGCTGAAGCACGCTGCTAGGAATGAGCCTTTGTTGTGTAGACTGGTTGAACTGGGAGGTTCCAAGAGTTGTTAAAGGGGTGCGGCTGATGTAAAGGTGCGGCTGCTGTAAATTGGGACTGAGCCTTTGTTATGTGGAGGTGGTGCGGCTGAAACCGCTGCTAGGAATGAGTCTTTGTTGTGTAGACTGGTTGAACTGGGAGGTTCCAAGAGTTGTTAAGGTGCGGCTGATGTAAAGGTGCGGCTGCTGTAAATTGGGACTGAGCCTTTGTTATGTGGAGGTGGTGCGGCTGAAACCGCTGCTAGGAATGAGTCTTTGTTGTGTAGACTGGTTGAACTGGGAGGTTCCAAGAGTTGTAGTAGTTGGTCACGTGATAAGTCAGACTTTGCCCCCCCCCCCTTACCATGGGAATGTGGAATTTCCACGGCTGGTTTCGGAGCTGACGAGGAGATGAGCGTTGTCTCAGTGTGCGTGTGATCCGCGAGGTCAGCGGTTCACAACCTTTGTGAGCGTGCGGAGCCCTGTTGAGCCTCCAGACATTTCGCAGACCACCACATGTGCCACGAGTTGTTTGAAATGGTACATTACCTTGACGACGATGATTTATCATTTGCCTTCTCTGTCCCCCAACCGCCCCGCGGAGACGCTACGGGTCCATTGGTTGAGAGCGTCGTGAATCGATTGTTGCCGCCGTTGTCACTTCTATTTCGGTCACTAGAGGGCAGCGTTGACCTTCAAACCGCCGTGGTGGCTAGGATATGTTAACTACCTCGCCTGGTATGCAGGAAGTCGTAGGTTTGATCCCGACCCTGACGCCTGCTGCTGTATATTTGGAGTTTGCGTGTCTCTCTCTCATCATCATCACGGTGGCTAGGAGATGTTAACTACCTCGCCTGCTGTGCAGGAGGTCGTAGGTTTGATCGCGACCCCGACGCCTGCTGCTGTATATTTGGAGTTTGTGTGTCTCTCTCTCATCATCATCATCATCACGGTGGCTAGGAGATGTTAACTACCTCGCCTGGTGTGCAGGAGGTCGTAGGTTTGATCCCGACCCCGACACCTGCTGCTGTATATTTGAAGTTTGCGTTGTCTGTCTCTTCCCCCCGTGATCGCGTGGATTTTTCTTCGGGTCTACATCGTGCATTCAGAGTATTTGACTGCCATACATGTCCACGTGATAATACACCTCTCCGTTGAGCTATCATTTGTGGCCAGGTCGGCTTCCGAAAAAGAAGCTATATGGCTCACTGGTCCTTATCTGGTAACATATATATATTTTTTAAGTTTAGTTTAAAACCCTTCGAGTGGCCAGTGTTTGTAAGGCCTTGCAAGCCCTATGCTCTCAGCATTTATCCCTGGCGCTGACCAGCATGGTGAAGTATGGTCAACGGCCCCCCGCGATCTGCACGGTGTGGATGGAGGCCCTCGTTCAGCCAGTGGCATTGACAGAAAGGGCCTGTGCATGGCGAAACGGCATGGTGAAGTACGGTCGGAGTGCTGTATGTTAGTTTGTGTTGGTTTAACCATCTTCTTGGTTCTTTCGGTAAAGTCACGTAGAAAGGAAATAATAAAATAATTAAAATTAATCATGCTTTTTATTATTTATTATTTTCCTTCTACGTGACTTTACCGAAAGAACCAAGAAGATGAATCCCTGCAGTCACGAAAGCTTTAAATCGAAATTTGGTTTAACCAGGCGAGAAACTGCATGCGGGAGACGTGACGAGTCTAATTTTCAAGGGTTACGTCAAAATAAGCACGGCGGCGAAGCGACGCGGAGGTAGGAGCAAAAACAACGGCGTGTCAGAATAAATCGAAAATGGTGCACGAACATACGTTGTCTTGTTTACCCATGATAGGGTAAACAAGTACTGTAACAATAATAAAAACAAATCAATAGTGAAATCAAATACAATCCCTGTTACACAAGTTGGCTCGGACAAATTACTTTTAAAAACAATTCTTAGAAAAGAACACATGCTGCTGGTGATGACGATGATGGCAAGTGATTACGTTTAGTGTTCGCAACTATTCTAATGGTGGGGAGCAACGTTTGCCGTGCGTAATCCCAATTGAGTAATTTGAAGTGGAATGTTTAAAATTGTGGGTATGTTTGTCCGTGACGCCGGCAATGCAGTGGCCTTCTCCGTTCAAATGATGTCACGGGGATGTCCAGTGTGGCGTGTGAAGCACGTACCACGTGGTTAACGCACACCCCCGCAGTACTAACCAGGACGGCCCGCCGGATTGGAATCGCGCGGCCCCTAAACAACGAGCGGCGAACGCGCTACCGCTGGCAGTGGTGATGATGATGGCGATGATAGTGGTGGGAGCGGTAGTGTAGCGGTTAGCGCGCTGCGCTATGAACTTGGCGACCCAGGTTCGATTCCCGCTCACGGCCAACACCGGTGACGATGATCTGAACCGGTCCTGGGCCTCCCCTTGGTCGACTCAGCCTGAAATGAAGACCCGGTGCGGTGTTTAAACATCGCCAGTGGGGGAGACAGGCGGTCGGGCGTGGTGCTGGCCACCCACCCCCTCGTGTACCGTTCCGGCCTTCATAGCTGCTCGCTAAAAGCACTTGCCCCTACAGTCTGTTAAGGCTATACAGGGGATCTTTGTCTTTGGTGTCGATGGTGATGATAACTTTGGTGATGATGATGGCGATTGTGATGACGGTGATGATGACGTGTTTGGTGTGCGCACTTTTAGGACGGCGATGGGAAGGTGGACCTCCTGCGAGCGGTGGACCGTCTGTGGGGGCACCGAGACGGCACGGAGACTGGGGGCAGCGGCGGGGGCCTTGGCGACGGGGTACCAGGCGTCTCGACCGCCGCCTGCGCAGATTTCTCTTCCTCCGACGACAAGAAATCCGTCTAACCGCGCACACGATCGCCGTAAAGCTGGTGTGCGTGGGTACTTACGCACGTACGCACACACGCATGTACATATGTGTGTATGTCTTTACGTACGTGCGTGTGTACGTACGTGCGTGCTGGACTAGACGAAAGACGGAGATGTGGGCACGCCGAGTGGGACGCGCGTTTGTCTCATTCGTATTTATTAGTTATTGCAAACATCTGCAGTACTTATATATTTGTAAGCAAAATGATTGTTGCTGGAATTTGCAAAAATATTACACGATGGGGGTGGGAGAGGGGGGGTTTGGGGGTGGTGCTGGTTTGGGGGGGGGTTTGGCGGGGGATGGAAATATGTTACACGTTGAACGTTGCTTGCGAAGTTTGTTAAACTTTCAGATGGGAGCGCTCGCTCTCATTTAAAGAGTCAAACGACAACAACAACAACAAGCGGCGACGATGGCACAAAGGTGCAAACGCCACCGAGTCCTTTGTGTTTTTTAGTGGGTTTTTTTTGCTTAAAGGATTCATTTTAAAAGAAAAAGTTTTCCTACTCTGGACGGTCTTATATTAACGACGCGGGCAGGAGCTGTACAATGGCAAATTACGCAGTTCAGGATCGAGTCCCAAACTTTGTCCGGAATGCGATGCATCGCAGCGATTTATCTCCGGCACCCGGCCGATGTTTCTGGAGTTGCCGTTTTTTTACTACTCTCATCCGTCGTATCTGATGTTCCCAGGGCTGGTCCTGTTTGCAAACCGACGATGTCTGCAATTTTAATTTTTAAGTCTTCGTTTTTTTTTTCATAACCTGAGGCCTACGCCGAGGCTCGACATCCCGACCACCCGACCACCGCTGATGTTTTTTCCACTGGCACATCCGAGCCGAATCGGAGCTACGGCTGTCACGGCACGGCTTGTTTTTTCCTACTGGCTCTCAGCCGCGATGGCGAGATGTTAACTCCCTCGCCTGGTATGCAGGAAGTCGTGGATTCGATCCCGACGCTGATGCCTGTATTATATATATGGTCGCATGGATTTTTCTCCGGTTCCTCCGGTTTTTACCCTTCACATTTAGAATCATCATCATCACGCATTTAGAGTATTTGGCTCCTATAAAAATTTGCACGCGATGATAAGCCACTTAGTTGAGCTTTCATTTGTGGTGGCCAGGTCGCTTCTGAAAGAGAGCTTTTTAGCTCGCTGGGCCTTACCTGGTAAAAATAAAAAAAATAGTTTAGTTTTAATAGTTTAATCGGTTCACGGAGACCACTTGGAACGCGCGATGCCCAATGCCACACGCCCGATGCGCAGCTTGGGTTTCGCTGTGGAGGGGAACCGATACCACTCCGTCTGTATTTTAAACGTACGTTTGCAATGAAACGTACGCTCGAAATCTTTAGCATCGAAAGAAAGTCCGTGCAGCGCGCGCACGCCCGAGCACGATTGCTCGGGGGGGCGATTGCGGAACGTGATGCGGACGTGATGTGACGTTGTCGTTCGTCACGCGCGCGTGTGCGCGTGCGTGATCGCGAGCGGCTCGTTTCGAGGTTGCTCGTAGACAAATCGTGATCGCGCATTCGACGGGGGGGGGGGAGGGGGGGGTCACACTTTGGATTAAATTTTTACCTCAGGTGTCTGCTGCTGCAAATGCCATGTACAAAAAGTAAACGGACAGTGAAATACAAAATGCTTTGTCAGCATTGTAACCAAGCTGGCGATTTTTTTACGCGGAAGAACAGAAACTCCGATTCTTACCGTTCCTCGTTACACTCCAGATGTACTACAGAGGTTGATATTGAGAGAAATCAACTTCCGTTCTGTGTCACCACACACACACACAAATGCAATGCAACACAGCCGCGCACAGCGTCTGAACGCTTTTCCCGTCTCAGGACGCTGTGTCGAGCGACGGCTGCAGTCAATCGTAGACGGAGGAAAATAATGAAGGCTCTTTGAGCCTGAACAGGGGCTGGGAGTCGGCAGCACGTGTCGCTTGGGGGGAAGGGAGTTGTAGATGTGGGGGCAGCAGAGGAGAAGGAGCGACCCCCCCCCATTCCCCCCACTTCGATTGTCTGGCGGCTTTAATTGAAAGCCTTGGCTGCAGGCAAAATACGATTATGATGACAATAATTATTATGCAAAATAAGCCAACAGTATTTCACAAAACCTGTTTGCTGCCGAGTCTCACGAATGGCAAAGCCGGTCCATATTTTCAGCCGCTTTAGCAAATGCCGCCGATGAACTTGAGTCATCGGCAGCGGCGTTAGCGGCAATTGGGAGGTCGGCGTTAGCGGCAATTGGGAGGTCGGCGTTAGCGGCAATTGGGAGGTCGGCGTTAGCGGCAATTGGGAGAGCGGCGTTAACGGCAATTCGGAGGTCGCCGCCGGTTCAATTTCCCGGCGCGGCAGTTTTAACGAACGCGGCTAGTTTCTTAAATTACCCCCCTTCCCCCCCGCGGCATCCGTCCAACCAGCGGTATTAATGGGCTCGGGTCAACGTGTTGGTGTGGGCAACGTTGAGGGTACGCCTCCGAAGTGGCAGAGAAGGCCGAAAGCGATTGCAGCGCTGCACCCTATTGACTTTTCGACGTAAATTACAGTGTCACGAGTAACATCGCCTACATTGGCCAGCGATGCAAAACGTCGGAGAAGCGTTTATATAATAATAATATATATTTGGAGACACAGAACGGAGGCAGATATTTATTTTGCTATTAAGACGCGATTACCTTCTTAAACTGTGAGCCAGCAATGTTAAAGGGGAAAGAAAAAACAATGGAAGCTGTACGCGTTACACATAAGCCGGCTAACTTAACACATTCCTCAATCTACATCTCAGCCTATCTCGTGCCCCAAACGGGAACCCACAACACTGGACTTGCACACGGAACTCCCCAGCACTGCTGCAGCCTGCCCCCCCCCCCCCCCCTTTGTTGCTTCGTGTCGTAAATGCGCCGGGCTGCAGCGTGGAATTTCAAAAACAAAAGTGACCAAATGCATGTGGTTGGTTATTTTCGTTGGTAAGCTGAAACGGCTTTCCTTTGCTCTGTTCCCAGTGATCTCGAACGTACGTGAAACATTTTTTTTACACGGTGTATAAATATTATATACGGCCGCGGTCGATTGACGAATTTAACTTTGGCGGCCTTCCTTACATTTGGGTCGGCGCAACAATAAAATACAGCCTAATTACGAAAACTTTTACGGAAAAAGGGACGTGTGACACTTTTATTACGAAAATGGGAATGCGTTTTTAAAACGGAGCTCGCTACATAAATAAGCCTCGGGTTGATACTTTTTTTTGTTGGGGTAGTTGTTAGTACTATGGATATTGGTGATTTTTTGGGGATGTAAACAAAAAATTGGGGGGGGGGGGGGGGGACATTTTTTCTATAAAATGCCTTTAATGACAGCACGTGTTTGGGCCCCTTTTTTTTTAAACCAATTTAATGGACGCCTCGCCCGTTGCATCTTTAATGTACAAGGCTGAAGTTTAAAGGCCCGGCTTTCTTGCACGCAGCGGTGTGTGTTTTTTTTCTATTCGAATGAAACGTTGCACGACATCGCGTGTTTTCCCAACCGCCAATTCGTCGCCGTTTTATTTTTGAATGCAGCTTTGCACGTTACCGAGTCGTCGGCAGGGCGGAGCGTTGTATATTCGTGAGAGTCGAGGCTGGGGAGAAGGCCTCTTTTTCCTGAATGGCCCAGCCACAACGGAGCTCACTCAATTCGGGCAAGGGCATGGGCAGAGGTCGCAAACGGGTTTTGATTCCTTACCCGTACCCGGCTGCACCTGGGCTGCAAAATTGTACCCGTACCCGTACCCGGCTGGGTACGGGTAGCCGGGTATCGGGTAGGGTACGGATATCGGGTACCCGGTTGCGACCTCTGGGCATGGGCACCTGTGATGGCAAGGCCTTTCATGCGGCCACCGAGTCTCAAGACTTATTTTTAGGAGTGGGGACGGTGCTACGTTGGGATGTTATTTCTAATTCCGTGAGAGAGGGTTTGGCTTCGTGTGGGAGGAAATCTGGAAAAAAACGGAGAAACCCCACCGCGTACGAGGTGATGAAACTCAGAGCCCCGCGTGGATGGATTCAAGAATCCATTGCTATAAGATCCAGCCACCGTAAAGCCCTGCTTGGCCTATGAAAACAAAAAGGCATTTTATAGAAATCAGGAGAAAATAAGAAAATGTACACGTGTTATTACTTTTTTTTTCGGATTTCGTATTTAACATATCCGAGTTTATACTCAACAACATTCTTCCATGTTGGAGTTTTAGCCTTCGTATATTGCCATGATGGCATGGAATGTTTTTTTTTCAGTCTTTGGCGCACAGCGCTCTGAACCTGTCCCACCTGTGTGCGCCGATGATTCCCAGGTCCCGGCTAACATCAGTGGCGAGTGATTTCTGAATCTGCCATCGGTGACCCCCCCACTTGACCTTATCTAGTCGATCGACGCTGTTGTGCACGCTGCCACCAAAATGACGGCAATATTATCATCTTTAACAAAGTTCCCTGTGAATTGTGAACCTCCTGGGCCAATGTTTTAGTAGCACGCTGAACTTTAAATCCAGGGGTCGATTTGTTTGATCAAATTCCTTAGACCAGAGCGAGTCGTGTGGTGGGTAAAAGCGTGGGTATTCCCGCTCCACTTAAGATGTCTGGCTTCGAGTGGCTTAGGGAGAAGTAGGCCAAATATTGGAGATACTTGCGTCAGCAGAACCCTGAGCAAGCAATTATGGAGCTGCGCCTTTTTGTACCTTTGATAATGTCGATCCCAGCACCGCAGCGATCCGCGCCGGGCAGAACGGCACAAGTAAACGAGACGTTTTAACTCGGCAGTGAAAGCTGTGATAATGATAATGAAAAAAAATTGGGTTAGATCGCGTAAATATAAATGTGTCGTTAAACCCGCCACCACCCAACACGGCGAATTAGTAAGGTCTGTCACGTAAACTAAACGTGCCAGTTAGTTACTACTTCAGCACACCATTATAGCGAAGTTTAACGACACGATTATATGTACGCGATCTAACCCAAAAAAAAAACTTTTATTCATCATGTGTGTCACGAAAGCCGCCTCCTACTAATTCTGCGTGTTAAACAAGGTTGCGCCCGTTGGCGTCAGCTTGAAGAGGATGACTCCTCCACCCTTGAGCGGAGATCGAATCCGCGTTGGCGTATTTATTGAGGGCGGCTCTCCTCCGCGGACGTAAGCAGCAGCCGGCGTCACGGCGTGAAAAGATCGCGGTGCATTTCGTCTCCGAAGCGCCGTTTATTTCTCGTTTAAATTCTTCCTTTTGTTTTACCTCCCAATGTTACAGCACTTACGGCGTTGTGCTGACGCGTTGCTCACGGACTCGTCGCCAACGGTGGAAATGTAATCCAACTTTATGTAGCACTTTAAAAGGATCGTGACATTATTTTATCCTTTTTTTTAAGTGTATTTATTGGTATCACCTTGAAACGCGTGTTCCTGCAGAGTGAGCCATCTTTTTCTTTTTTTAACTTCGCACGGTGGACTTGACCTTTAACGCACTCCTCGACCGGGCCCCGTGTGCGATTTGTTTTGGTTTTTCGAGTTTGATGGCGTGCGACCAGAGGTCACAACCGGGTTACCCGATACCCGTACCCTACCCGATACCCGTACCCGGCCGGGTACGGGTAGCCGTTTGCGACCCTGGTGCGGCCGGGTACGGGTAGGCCGTGAGTCACCGGTGAGTAACCGTTTGTCACTCATTTCCCAACGTCTTGTCTCTTTTCACAATTCAAGTTCCTAGAATCAAGCCACCGGCGCCTGCAACATGGCTTCATCCTAGAGGTCGCAATCAGGTACCCGATACCCGTACCCTACCCGTACCCGGCCGGGTAGGGTACGGGTACGGCCGTGTACGGGTACCCGTTTGCGACCCTGGTGCGGCCGGGTACGGGTAAGGAATCAAAACCCATTTGCGACCTCTGTGTGCGACCGACCTCATGGGTTGTCGTGGTACTGGGTGGGTGGGGGGGGTCCTCGTTGACTAGCACACGGGGAGGGGGGGGTGGGGGAAGGATGAGTTTTGGATTTAAAAACACACACACGAAGGGGAATTCTATGGATATAGTTCATGACATTGTTTCACGAAGACGTCCCGGACCGTTTCCACCGCGTGCTAATGTAACAAAAATGTCGTCGTGCTCGCAAAAGTGACGTCACCCGATACCACGTGACGCGAGGCTCGATGGGGGAGGGGGAGGGGTGTGCGAACGGCACGACTTTGGGTCGATTCGAAAACTTTCTTGGGAAGCGTCTTCGTTTTAACTATTTTTTTTATCTGCTCTCAAATTTTGGATTATCCGGATTGATACGAAAATTGTTAACTATTTCGTCGCCAGTGAATGCGTTATATGCTGGCGACCTTCCGACTGGGCTTTGTATCCCGAGGAGATGTCATCTCCCTCGCCGCGTATGCAGGAGGTCGTCGGTTCAATCCCGACCCTGACAATGCCCTGTGTATTTGGAATTTGCATGTTGTTTCAGTGGTCGTGTGAATTTTTCTCTGGGTTCCTCCGGTTTTTCCCTTCACATTTAGAAACGTGCGTTTTAGATTATTTGGCTGCTGCTATAACTTCCTACATGTGATGACGATGATGATATGAGCCACTAAGTGGAGCTATCATGCGTGGCCAGGTCGCCTTTAAAAATCGAGCCATAGTAGCTCAGCGGGCTCTACCTGGTTAATAACAGTTTCGATTTTTTTTTTTTTAAGTTACGTGGAAAACGAGCGGTAGACTTTTAGGCTGGTGACACACAGCCCTTGACCTCATAGGGATGCTTAGATGTTATTACAGAGTGAATTTCATTGGCGTGACATGTTCGGCAAGCTTAATATTTTCATATACAATTATAAAACACTTCGCTCCACATGCAGTCAGCACACTCCATATGAACCCAACGATTCCTGGCCACGGCGAACACCGCTGGCGAGTGGCATCTGAACAGCTGCTAGCTCAGCACTTCCCTTAAGCAAACCCGCACTGCCCTGATCTGGTGAAGTGCGCTCAAAACAAATCCCTCTGTGAAACAATTACATATTAGGCCTTCGGTCACCCAGCAGTGGATGGAACAAGGGCTGGTAGCGATTGGCCTTAAAATATTACACGGACACAAATCGTCTTAATTCTAGATTTGAAGCTTTCGTGACTGCAAGGATTCATACTCTTAGGTTTTTTCGGTAAAGTCACGTAGGTGAAAAATAAAATTTAAATTCATCAAAGTAAAATAAAAAATCACGACGTTCCGGAGGCAACACAAGCTTCCGTCTTCAGGTGGAACTGTCACAGCACGATTGCTGTATCAAGTTTGCTGTATCAAAAAAATATCTTTACTTGATACAGCAATCGTGCTGTGACGGTTCCACCTGAAGACGGAAGCTTGTGTTGCCTCCGAAACGTCGTGATTTTTATTTCACTTTTATTAATTTTATTTTTTACCTACGTGACTTTACTGAAAAAAACCTAAGAGTACTAATCGTCTTGGTTCGTTCGCCACGCCCGAATTTTTACTTTTGGGGAAAGCAACGACGCTCGCAGACGATGTCCTCGCGTGAATTTGCCTACGCTTATTAAGACGGGCGTACGTTTTTCGTGATCGTTTTTCGTGATCAGTTTTCGTTCAAATTCGTTTTCCCGCGATTGGAATGGCGATGACGGCTCTGTTGTCGCCTCCTGCCGCGCTGCACGTGTCCCGCGCTCCGCGCGTCTTCCTGCGCATGTCACACGCGGCTCCGCGTGTCGTCCGTCGGCAGTCCGGCGTGTCGTGTTTTGTATCGCTCTAAACATACAACAACAACAACAAACGAACAGAAAAGGGAACAAAAAAATACATGAAATTTTTTTTTTATCTCTCTTCCGTTATTATTCTGTTTCTTTATATCTATCTATCTATCAGAGAGGGGGGATTGTAATTATTTAGTGAGGGCCGCGTAATGTGTGCGCATTGGACGATGTTGTTGTGGCGCATGAATGCAGTGCTCTGTCTCCCCCTCTCATCTCTCTATCCCTCTCTGGACTTTCATTGTAAACGTTGTTTTTTTATTCTTGTAATTTCCACGGCGTTGGGAAAACGAGGAGTCGTGGTGGTGGTGGTGGTGGCGGCCGCCGTGCCCGAGCCGCAGGGAGGTTCTCGCCACCCGAATGGCGATGACAGCGCCGGCCGAAGCAGCCCCCTCCAATCCTCCACGCTCGGTTGGTGTTGGGTTGGGTTGGGCTGCTTCACACTCCGTGGATCGATGTCCCAAGCAGCTTAAACTTAATTTGGAGCTTTCGTGACTGCAGGAATTACTCTTTGGTTCTTTCGGTAAAGTGACGTATAAAGAGAACATAACAAATTAAATACTAGCATACGACGTTTCGATTGTAACACAAGCAATCATCATCACGTATAAATGAAATAGAAACACAAATCTAGTATACTTAGAAATGGAATGTAATACAACAGAGAGTCGGATAGCATAACAGTCAACACCCTTCCTGGTTGATTACGTTCTTCCTGAGAATGCTAAATTTGAGAGAGAGATAAAACACAGGACCAGAGACATATAGACAGACATATAAGCAGACAGATATCACAGAGATACATAGAGACGAAAATATACACACACACGCGCGTCTGTAGCCAGGCGCCACGCCGTTACTGCTGCAGTGTTAATAGGCAGCAGCAGATTGGCGTTTCTTTTTTTTTGGAGGGGGTGGATGGTGAGGGTGGGTAGGTGGGGTTCCAATCGCAGGGGATCAACGCGGGCAGGTGGATTCATGAAGTCGCCGCAATGTGAATGAATGCAACTTTGGCGGTGGTGGTGGTGGGGATGATGACAGCACCGGTGCTGAACTGTCGTGGAGAGTGCAGATGATAAGTCACAGTGTATTGCAGTCGTATGTTACTCTGTGCGAGTCTCTGGCTCCCCTGTCTAGCGAAGTCTACGGGTGCGAGACCGTGTCCATCTGTGGTTCCTGCATGAGTTGTGGTTCTTCTCTTGTGTACGTACTCTTTGGTTTTTTCGGTAAAGTCATGTAGGTAAAAAATCACAATAAATTAAGTCACGACGTTTCGGGCGCAACACAAGCATCCTTCTTCAGATGGGGGACAACTTAGCGAAAGCGCAACGCTTAAGTGTGTCACGCTTGTGTTGCGCCCGAAACGTCGTGATTTTATTTATTAAATTTTTTACCTACAGGACTTTACCGAAAAAACCAAAGAGTATGAATCCTTGCAGTCACGAAAACTTCAAATCTAGAATCAAGTGTACGTCTTTGGGTCTCCATGCGAGCCCGCGGGGTCTCCGTGCGAGACCGACGATGAAGCTACTGCTCGCGCGTTCCAGCTGGTCCGTGAATCCACCCGCACGCCTCGTCACCTGTGAGTGGAATGAAACAAAAAAACCCGAAACGGATTTCGTCGCCTCCTCAACCCGGAGCCACGAAGTGCCACTGCTTCCATGTCTCACTCGTTTATTTAACCCCTTAAAATTCCACCCCATCCACTCGTGCAAAATAAATAAACAGCTCCATTTTCGGTGACGAGTTCCTTTTGCGTACCTTTCGATGTTTCGTCCGTGTAGTCTGTGCTTACCAGTTTTTTACGCTACGATGTATTTTTTTTTTGTCGCGGCTAAAGGGAATTGTTGTGGTGACAAAATAAATAAGGTGTCTGTAGGCAAAGGCGGTGTCGCATTGTTGGTGTCGGGAAATCATCATCATCATCATCACGATCGGAAAGCGCGGCGTTCTATCCTTGGGTGCATCGGGACGCTCATGGGACCCTGGGTTGTGACGTTGAGAGTGCGGGGATGTTAACTACCTCGCCTTGTATGCAGGAGGCCGTGGGTTCTATCCCAACCCAGACGCCTGCTGCTGTATATTTGGAGCTTGCATCGCTCTCTCTCTCCCCGTGGTCCCGTGGATTTTTCTCCAGGTTTTCCCTCCACATTTAGAATCGAACACGCCCTCCAAGAGTATTTGCATGCTTTAATTTCCATACAATAAGTCACTGGTGGAGTAAAATGTGAGGTGGTGGTAAACATTTCTGACTCGCCACTACTGGATATCTGTGAAAAGAGCTTCATTGCTCATCGGATTCTTGCAAGATAAATAATAATCGATTCTGTGTAGTCCCACCAGCGTGGAAGAGTAGGCCAAATTACATCCCGTGGAGGCTCTCTCCAGAGCTCCCTCTCTAAAATCTTCCGTCACAGCGGTGACGTGAGCGAGCATTTGCAGGACTGCAGCCTTTACCCATCGGCATGTGATCATTAGTTGATTGAAGTCTGCTCCTGTGATGGGGTTACACGTTAAAAATCGCGTGTGTATTTGGGTAAAATCATTTTTATCACGGCAGAATGTACATACTTAGCGCGCATGCATCATTTGCATGCGTGATATACACACGGTTGTGTATGTTGATAAATTTAACACGTAGGCTTTCGCGACCAATGTTATTCATAATCAACGTTTTTGGGTTTAGATCGCGTTATTTATAAATGTGTCGTAACCCTCCACCACCCGACACGGCCAATCAGTAAAAAAGTGTCACGTTGACAAAAGACAAATAGTTCACTGCTTTAGCCCACCGGTGTGTTGAAGCAACAACATTTACAATTTGAGTACTCAAATTGTCTATTAACAGTCGTCGAATTGTTAATGTTGTATTGGGTTTACTCAACACACCGGTGGTGCTGAACTCGTAACGAATTGGCACGTTTTGTCTACGTCACAAACCTTACTAGCTGGCTGTGTCGGGTGGTGACGGGTTTAACGACACATTTATATTTACGCGATCTAACCCAAAAAAACTATTTTATCAGTAAAATATTTTATTTATTTCCCACCCCACGTTTTAATTCCTGTCGGCGCCAAGTGGGAACGGCGCAGCGTAGCAGCGTCTCTCGCCCGGTGTCGGGTTGAACAGCTCCCGGAAGTTGCCGTTACAGAACTACTTCTGAAGCCG